ACCCACCTCCACCACTTCCTCTGGCAGTTCGTTCCATACACGCACCACCCTCTGTGTGAAGAAGTTGCCCCTTGGGTTCTTTTTAAATCTTTGCCCTCTCACCTTAAACCTATGTCCCTCTAGTTTTGGGCTTGCCCACCTGGAGAAAAGACCTTGTTTATTTACCCTATCCATGCCCCTCATGATTGTATAAACCTCTATAAGGTCATACCTCAGCATCTGATGCTCCAGGGAAAATGGCCCCAGCCTATTCAGCCTCTCCCTATAGCTCAAACTCTCCAGTCCTGGCAATACAGTCCTGGTTAATCTTTTCTGCACCCTCTTAAGCTTAATAATATCCTTCCTAAAGCAGGGAGACCAGAATTTAATGCAGTATTCCAAAAGCGGCCTTACCAATGTCCTGTACAGCCGCAACATGATCCTCCCAATTCATATACTCAATGCTCTGACCAATGAAGGAAAGTGTGCCAGATGCCTTCTTCACCGCCTGCAACTCCACTTTCATGGAACTATGCACTAGGTCTTTTGGCAATACTCCCCGGGACCCTACCATCAACTGTACAGGTCCTGCTCTAGTTTGCCTTCCCAAAATACAAAACCTCACATTTATCTAAATTAAACTCCATCTCCCACTCCTTGGCCCATTGGCCCATCTGATCAAAGTCCCGTTTCACTCTGAGATAATATTCGACACTACCTCTCACTTTTAAGGAAGAGATTTCCTAAGACCCACTGCCCTCTAAGAGAAAATAAAATTCTCCCAATTTCCATCTTAAAAATGTGAAGCTTATTATTAAACTATGACCCCTCATTCTAGTCTCCCCAAAAGGGAAAATGTCCTTTCAGCATCGATCCTGTGCAGTCTTATCATAGAATCTCTACATGTGGAAACAGGCCCTTCGGCCCAACAAGTCCACACCGACCCTCAGAGCATCCCACCTAGACCCATCCCCCTATAACCCACCTAATCAACACATCCCTGAACACTATGGCAATTTAGCATGGCCAATCCACCTAGCCTGCACATCTTTGGACTGTGGGAGGAAATGGGGGCACCCGGAGAAAACTCAACCAAACACGGGGAGAATGTGCAAATTCCACACAGACAGTCACTCGAGGTTGGGATCGAACCCAGGCCCCTGGCGCTGTGAGGCAGCAGTGCTAACCACTGAGCCACTCTTCTCAAGATCTTGTATGTTTCAATAAGTTCATCCCAGTGGGCATGGGCCCAGTCTGTCCAATTTTATCATGGGATGATACCCCAGTCCAGGTATCAATCCAGTGAGCCTTCTCTGAACTGCTTGTCACACATTGATAGCCTTTCTTAGATAAGGAAAACAAAACTGTACATGGTTCTCCAGATGTGAAGTAATCTATTTCTCATCAGGATTAATGGTGACTGCATGTCCTTAACCTCAGCGAATCATAATCCATCAGCATCTGCGAATGAACTGGCAACAAACTGACGTGGGATGTGGCAGAGGTAACAGTGTGCAGCTGGAGATTGGGAGTAGTTTTAATTACATATCCCCTCATGATCAGGCTAAACCTTCATGTGATAACTGAATAGGAGGCAGTAATCGTTGAATCAGGATACTCAGATGGGAACTCAGTCTTAATTTAAAGACATCCATTAGGTCCTTATTTCTAATATAATTCCTTGATATTTATCTTTCTATCAGAATTAATTAAATGTAAGGCTATTTTTGAAGCAGGTGATGTTGACAGTGGAGATACAGGGAGACACAGAACTGAAGTAATTTAGCACCATCACTGGTAGCAGGATGTATTATACATTCACAGACCATTCTCTCATACATAGGAGTCTATAATGGATTTGTGTGCAGATAATAGACACGTTTGTATGTTGCTGTGATAATTTATACAACATATAAACATATACATACTTCTGTTATATTTTGCAATGTCTCCCAAAAGAAGGAATTGTGTAACCATTGTTTAGTGTCAGCGCAGTGAGCTGGTGGGGTTGAAATTTCTTTCTGTGACCTCCTCCTGTGTGAAAGCACAGCAAGAAGATAATTCCACACAAGGAGGAATAGAAATTGTGGGCCAGTCAGCCCATTCCTGTGCTGTACTGTTCTATGTTCTAAATGGGAAAAAGCTGGGGACTAACCACCTCTGGATGTAGAAGTCAATCCTCACAGGCGTTAAGTTACGCTGTGTTAGAATCCTTGCCATGTTCACTGACAAGCCCCATGCCTCCTATATAAACAACATTGATCTGCTAATTTGACTCCTGCATTAAAATACAGACAAGGAATTGCATCAGTATGTAGTAAAAACCAATAAAAATGAAACATAATTTTACAGCGTTTTATTTGATAGAAGGCACCCTCAACCACTCAGACACTTCCCTATGAGGAGTGAGAAGTCACAAATCACATTCCATATCTCACTGTTCACAGTTACCTAGGCCAAAGGAAGGCAGAGATTGGGAAATTACCTTCTGCATAGTCTATTCCAATTCCTTTCAGTCAGTGAACCACTTTTATTTTGACTGTGAATATGAGAATTGGAGGCTGAGACTGGAATAAATTAATTGCTCTTTTAATTACTGTTAAATGCACTGCTCCTGTGGTAGCAAGAGCAGTTGGTGGCCAACTTTACTTGACTGCTCCTAATTAGCTGCATTTCTTTATACAGCCATTCCTTGCAAATGGACAATGTACAGTAATTTAGGAATGATGCTCACATGCTCTGCCCAATTTAATGATGGAATCAGGCACAACGTTGAAGTGATATTATCCACAGCAGCTTTTGTCACAGCACTGGAGAGGTTATTTATGGGATAATGCCGGAGTTAGAGACTTTATTCATATTCAGACATTAGAGAAACTGTAACAAAAACAAAAATTGCTGGAAAAGCTCAGCAGGTCTGGCAGCACCTGAGGAGAGAAATCAGAGTTAATGTTTCAGGTTGAGTGACCCTTCCTCAGAATTCAGGAACTGTGTTTTTTCTCCATCAAACAGAGCAGAGGAATTGGAGACTCAATTGAGCTGTTCAAAACTTTAAGGAGTTTGAATAGGACAGGTAGTGAAGAGTTATTTTCTCTGGCAAGTAGGTAAATCAGAGCTATTTGATTTATTAGATTCTCATTGAATAAGAAATTACTATTAATTAGTATTAAAACACGAGAAGAAATGAGGAGAAAAATCTTCACATTGTTAAGGTCCAAAATAAAGTAGCTGAATGTGGGCTGCAAGCACTTCCCATCAGAACATCCAAATGTAATGGGACATGTTGTTGATGAACTGCAGGGCTATAAGGAGAAAGCTGCAATGTGGGACTGAATTGGACAGCTCTTTAAAATAATAACGACATGGGGAAGATGGTCAGAACAGCTTCCTCATGGATTGTCAGACTCAGTGGTGACTGAGACTGAAACTCATAGAAGTCAGGATTAAAAAGTAGATCATGCAGTAAAGGTAATGTACAACACTCCTTCAAACAAACCAGTGAGAGATAGCTGGCATGCAGGGAGCTGATGGCAAGGGCCTATTGACACAAAGTGTGAGCAACAATTGGAGTGGCCTTCTGGCTAATGTACTGGGGAACAAAGCTCGGGACAATTTCATAGCCTATTTTTCGAAGCTCTATAGTTTTATCTCATTTGTTTAGGCAATAAGGCAGTCAGAATAGACACAATGGTCTTCCTCACTGCTTTCAAAACTATCATTGCTGCTGGAGGGACAGGAACATCTGGGGAAAAATACTAATTTAATGGAAAGGGGCGAACACTTTATTTCAGCTGTAGATCACAGAATGATGGGCACCTTCAGAATGTTCTGTACTTGAGCCCATACACTGGAAACTGGCAGGTAGGCTTTAGTCTATCTTCAATCTTTGCTCTGGCATTTCAGGCCCGTACTGACGGAGTGCTGCATTGTTGGAGATGACATGTTGATCTGAGGCTGTGTGTACTCTCTCAGATGACTGCAGGAAATCTCATGACATTGTTTAAAGAAGAACAGGGAAGCTCCATGTTGTGTCCTGGTTGATACCCTTCAACTAACATCATTGAAGCCAATAATTTTATAATTGCTGTCTGTGAAACCTTGCTGTGCTCAATTTGGCTTCTCTGTGTGACAACAGGGAAGCATTGCAATGGCTATAACCCGTGAAATATTATCTCTGGTTGTGAAAGGCACTATACATGTCCCAGCACAGGGTTAGATACCGAGTAAAGCTCTCTCTACACTTTTCCCCCATCAAACACTCCCAGGAC